TACCATAGCAGTGAAGGATTCATAGTCAACAGAGTTACTTTGTTTTTTAAAAAGATTTTATTTATTTATTCACGAGAGACACAGAGAGAGGCAGAGACGCCGGCAGAGGGAGAAGCAGGCTCCATGCAGGGAGCCCAATGTGGGACTCGATCCCAAGATCCCGGGATCACGACCTGAGCCAAAGGCAGATGCTCAACCACTGAGCCATCCAGGTGCCCCGAGTTATTTTAATTTTAACGATTGATGAAATCAGCAGTTTGAGGTGTCGGCAATTACATTTATTATCAACAATAGTGCTGCAACCTGTGATGTCAGGAAAGCTTTCTATAAATGATAACTAAAGTGATAGCATGCCTGCGAATAAAAAAAATTGGCTTTATGAAGCTTGACCTTTGCATTTCCTCTGACATACGACCCAGCTTCAATCACTGTTGCTGGTGGGAGGGGTGCTGGGAAAAGTAGAAAACTCTGGCCTGGTCTGTCTGCCTGGATTCAGACATTTTCTTAAATCCTCTGTCTTTGACGTATTAGACAACCAGGAATGGGACACATATTCACACTGCAACCTGGCACACGACAGGCCGCATGCTTACAGAGGTCTCTAGCCGTTAGCAAATCTTTTTGTCTCCATGATCATCAGGCTCTTGATCTTGGCTCCTGGATTGAAACAGATTACAGCTGAGAGCTGGCTGTCTGGATCCCGTGGTGGACCTGCAACCATCACCAGGGAATGTTTTAGATGTTCTGTACCTCCTGTACATTGCACAGTAAGGTGACTGAATTGTCCTTTATTTATTTTTAAAATTTTATTTATTTATTCATGAGAGACACACAGAAAAAGGGAGAGACATAGGCGGAGGGAGAAGCAGGCTCCCTGAGGGGAGCCTGATGTGGGACTCGATCCCAGGACTCCAGGATCACGACCTGAGCCGAAGGCAAGATGCTCAACCACTGAACCACCCAAGTGCCCCTGAATTATCCTTTTAAAAAAATAAGTTGAAAACAAACAACTTTGATGCCTTTTTTAAAGATCCTGACCCTCAACCCTGTCTCCTAGAGGTCTAGGGTGGAATGAGGCTCCCAGCTGAGTGCCACAGGTGCTCCCCGCGTCACCATGGTCGTTGCTCAAGTCCACCCGGCAAGGATTCTTCTTGCCATCCAAGCCTATTCCTCAATGTTTTAACTCGGTTGGGTCCAGGCAGGTTGGGACAATGGTAAGGCCGCCCACACAGCCCCACAATGGCACAAAGTAGAAATACCCCGAGTCCAGCCTCCTCCGGCAAACATTGCCCAGCCAGCCCAGCGGGGAACTGTTCCTTGAGTCCAAGTGCACGTGGCTGTCATTTGGCTCTTAAACAAGCAGCTGATACAAGGAACTGCAGAGTCGATTCTGTTTGTTCCACTAGACTACAAATTCATTCAATTAAAAGTCATGTTTATGTTTCATCGTCTCCCTAATTTGTAGTATAATTCCACAAATACATTAGGGACTCCAAAAATTCTTGTTGACTCATTGATGGCAAGGATGGTTTTCTGGTCATTTTCATTCCTTCAGCACATAGATGGCTTTTGCTGATCACCAGGACAGTTTTTGAATAAATAAATAAATGAAAAGAATAGAGTGCTACGTTAGGACGTTACTTAGTGAAGCCACAGGAGGAATTAGGATTAGCAGGAAGGCTGAGTAAGAACAATGAAAGAGTCCTGACCTGGAAGCCTCTAAAGAAGCCTCTAAGGATTAGCCAAATGACTGGGAGAGGTCATTTCACCTTTGGTCTCTAGTATTATTACCAATAAGGCTCAAGGCTCAGAATAGGTGATATCTCTATGATTTTAGAACAGGAAAAGGAAAGGGATGGAACATGGGTTCAAGTTTCTACTCTGTGCTAGCTAGGGATGGGTCCCCAAAGAGCCTGTCCAATTAAAAAAAAAAGTTCTCTTAAAAAGAGAGAAAAGGGTTCATTCTAACAGATTTTCGAAATTCACTGCTGGAGTTGATTAGACATTATTTTATTCAGAATTTTTCACATCTATGTTCCCAAGTGAAATCAATCTGTAACTTTCTTATTCTTATTGGGTTTGGGAATCAATGGTAAAAAAGTTTCATGAAGTTAGATTCAATATGTTTGTCTTTTCCTAACAATTTCTTAAATTCATCAATATATTTATATTTCCTCCAAACAGGACACTTTCTTTTTCTTTTTCTTTTCCTGGACTGTTATGGATCAACTTTCTCTCACTCTATTGTTTAGTCCTGGTTTATTTAAACAAGAATAAAATTTTCTCTTTTGCTTCTCATTTCCTTTATCAAATAGCATTTTCCCGGGAAGGTATTTTTCTAATTGGAATCCTTAATCCAATTATGTCTTCAGAGGGTTTTTGTTAAATATTTCTGTTCTACTTTTGGGCGTAAAAAAATTAGTTGGTATGTAGAAAATTACATGTTGGATGTTTTCTTTTTTTCCCCTTCAGCTCCTTGAAAATATCACTTTATGTCTCCAGGGTTACTGTTGAGAAGTTCAATGTTAATATGATTTTCCCCTCTTATATGTAATGGGCTTTTACTTTTTAAAAGCTTTGAGAGTTCGGTATTTATTCTTAGTGGTCATACATTTCACTACAATGTTTCCTGCTGAGGATTCTTACCATTTATTTTTTGGCATCTTTGTAAGTCTTTTAAAAATTGAGTCCTTTGGTCTTTATTTTTTATTTTATTTTATTTTATTTTTTTACTTTTTAGGAAATTCTCAAAATCATTTCTTCAGATTTTTCCTCCCCTATATTTTTTCCTTTCCTTCTAAAATTCCAATTTTATGACTTTTGACCCATATCACTTAGCATTTTCATATTTATTTGTGTCTATCTTTTTTTACAGATACCTTGTTTTGATATTCCAATTAGCTGGTTCATTTTTATCCATTCTACTCTTGATCTTTATTTTATTTATTTTTTATGCTCTGTGTCACCAGTTGATTTTTCTTCATAATGGATTATTGCTTCATGTTTCCAATACTTTCCCTTATTGTTTTTAGTATATTTATTAGACTGCTTTTAAATGATTCGTCTGGTCCATGAATTCTGCTTCATGGGGTCGGGGGGATCCAGTGTGTCATTTGATGAACAGTACTTGTGTTCCTCGGGAGACTTCCAGATGCTGCCCAAGAGCTCACGTTGCCCTGGGGTTATTTGCAGATAACCTTGATTGCAAATACAAAGTGGAGAAAGAGGGAAAAAAACCTCAGGCCTCGGTTGGATTGCTTCTGGTGATTCTTGGGAGCTGGAAATACTACACTGAGGCAGGTAGTCTTTGGGATTACAAATTGGGCTCTCTCATTCATTAGGTGTTAACTCCTAGGACTCCAGTACACCTCCACAGGGCCTCAATTTATTTAACAGCCTCATCTCCAGGCCGTCATCATGCATTGTCAGAGGTGAGAGCCTGAGGGGCTTGGGGGGCTCTGGCTGGGAGGAGGAAATGCCTGGGTGTCAGCAAGTCTATCAGCGTTGTCACCTTCTCCTCACTGTCTGCCCTCAAGCACTGCCCTGGGATTTGGCAGCTACTGATTTCACTTTTTCTGCCTCTTTGTGTCTCTGGCACAACAGAGGTGGAGCCGGGCCGTGGGGGCACAGAATAGGCCCAGCCTGCCAGGGTCTCACAAGCCTTTCCCACCTCTGATGGAGGTCGTGTCCCATGCCCTTGCTCCCAATCCCAGCCAGGGACCTGACCACCTTCTATCTCTCTCCAGGAATTCCCTCGCAGTATTTTACTTTTTTGGGATCCTTCAAGCCTGTCTCTCTTGCTTTTGTGGAAACTCTCAGGTCCTGGTTTGGCCGTCATGGTCATGTGACATCTTTCCAGGAACAGACAACCCACCAGTGGCTGTCAGGGTCAACAGTGCTCCTACAGGACACATTAGGTCCTTTAGGTGACTCAGGCTCATTTCCTTTATTGTAGCTTTTATTCTTGTGTGTGTGTGTTTTAAAACATTAGAAGTTTTAAAAAATCTTATGCTGAATCCTAACATATAAAATAGATAAGATCCGTGGTGTTTTCACTAAAGAGGGAATAGGGACCCGGGATTCTGGCTCCTGTAAGCAGTGCTGCCCACCCTCCTGGGGAGCCCATAGAAATCTCCAAGGAAGCCTGGAACTGCAGAAAACAGTCTGAAAAGGCACCACCCAACTGAGGGCGACAGGATCTATAGTTTCATTTATTTTTATTTTATTTTTTCTTGCTCGTGAGCAATCCGTTGAACATCAACAACACTTTATTTCTTTTCTTACTAAATGCATCACTTTCTTCCACCCCGTTTCTACGGGTAGGAAAGAATAAGATTACGTCGTGGCCCTCGGGTTGATTAGCCTTCTTAATTTTTATGTGGCTCACAGAATCTTTAGAACCTATCCCATCTCAGCTAGATCTCAGTCTCAGGCAATTTCCAACAGTCTCAGGGATCTAGGCTCCATAAGTGAGTGGAAGGGAGCAATCGGCAGTGCCCCTAACTCCAGGCTTCTGAAGAAACTGTATCGATGTGCAGGGGGAAGGTTATTGGTACAGACGTGAGAGCTGCACTTCCCTTCCGCTGTCACCCATCCATTTCATAAAACCACCCACCCAGAGAACGCTTCCTGGACATCCATAGGAGAGCCCCTTAAGAACTGGGGTTTCCGTTTGCTCATTCCGGTGCCCCCACACAGGGCCTAGCATCATAAGCACAAGGTCAGAACTTTGACCAAGGGATCAAAGAGCTTGCTTGGTCTTGAACCCATGGCTTTCGGCGGCCAAAGTGGGCAAAGCCATTCCTGAACTTCTACGGCCACTGCCAAGACGTGCAACACAACCTTCTTAGAGCGTCCTCCCAGCTACCCTCTATCTCTGCACCTGCAATCAGAGACTGTTCACTAGTCCCATGGCCCCGATCTCTGGAGTGTGTGGAGGCCAGCCCTGCCGGCCAAGGCCCGATGGTGACCGAGAACGACGCTGACATTGAAGACACAAGACTAATCTGTTTATTAGGTGTGTTCGGAGAAGTCGAGGAGGGGAATTTTTGGCCAATAAATAAATAAATAAATAATCGGACAAGAGGAGGCTCGGGCAAAGAAGGAGCTGGGGGAGAGGAGGCGGAGTCTTTGCATAGTTCTCGGGGACACAGGTGGCGGCGGGCAAGGCGGGTTCTCAGCGGAAATGCGGCACTTGCAAAAACCAGAAACTGGGAGGCTCGGAGAAAGAGAAGGTCGGAAGGTGACTAACTATTTCTTTATCACAGAGACGGTGTGTGGAACCTTCGTGCTCCCTCCGGGGAGGCGGGAGGTGGCCTCTCACATGATCTGCCTGGGCATCCCGTACCCCGTCATGCCGGCCTGGGAGGCCCCCTTGTTGCTGCCCATCTGCAGCCCGATGACGTTCTGTCCCTGGCGGAGCTGCTCCTCTGAAAATCCTCGCCGATTCTGCTGGGCTTTCCTGGGCAGAGGAAGTGGGGTGGAATCGTGTCATGCGGACAGTTTTCAAACCCTTTGCAAGACAGGCGGTTAGACAGGCTCTCCTGGGGGCCGCCAGACAGACACGAGGTCCACCAAATAGAGCAGGAGGCCCTATACTGGGCTACAGTACCGGCAGGAACGAGGGCCCACCCCGAGCTGTGGCCCTGCCCCGAGCTATGGCCCAACCCCAAGCTATGGTCCAATCCTGGGCTATGGTCCTACTCCAAGCTATGGTCCTGCCCTGAGCTATGGCCCTGCCCCAAGCTATGGCCCTACCCCAAGCTACGGTCCTACCCTGAACTATGACCCTACCCCAATCTATGATCCAGTCCTGGGCTATGGTCCTACCCTGAACTATGGCCCTACCCCAAGCTATGGTCCAATCCTGGGCTATGGTCCTGCCCTGAGCTATGGCCCTACCCTGAGCTATGGCCCTGCCCCAAGCTATGGCCCTGCCCTGAGCTATGGTCCTACTCCAAGCTATGGCCCTACTCCAAGCAATGGTTTTATCCTGAGCTATGGTCTTATCCTTATTTATGGCCCTACCTTGAACTATGGTCCTACTCTGATCTATAGTCCTACCCTGGGCTATGTTGCTACCCTGAGCTATGGTTCTACCCCAATCTCTTGTCCTATCATGAGCTATAGCCCTATTCCAAGTGGGCTTTTCCATGATACATGAGCTCTCTACTCCTTAGAATCCAGATGATTTTTCAGAATTTCCAGGAAAGAATCGGTGGCTTTCTCTCTGAGCACTTAACCCACAGACAACTTTTCCTCTCACTCACTCTCTTACAGTTACCTCAAGCCCTTGTGAAAATTACAAACAGCTCTTCTTACAAAGCATGCCATTAATTCCATTCCGCCTTGCCCTGTGTAGGGCCAAGTATCAATGTTCCCATTTTAGAGCTGCAGGACCTAAGAGTCAAGGAGGAAAAACGTCTCATTCTTAACCAGAGGCCAGCAAGTTTCAATAAAGAGTCAGATAGCAATTTTGGTTTTGTGTGTCATAGAAACCATGTTATGTCACTGACAAAGCTGGGACTAAATCCAGAGTTTCAACATGCCAGTATCTAGGAGGTTTTCAAACCAGGTTCATTTAAAATGACACAAACTGGTACCTTTTTATAACTGTCTAGAAGAAGAAAGAGGGGTGAGGGAAATATAAGGCCAATTATTTACTGCAAAGTGCTCTTTGGTCTTCATTGCCCACTGAGCTATTGCGTTGAGTTCAAGCTCCATTGCTTCCCCTACCCCTGAAAACAACAACAAAATAAATCCTTTACGGACGTGACCACATAATACAATATCCAGGCCAGGCCACTTTTGAAAGTGAGAGTGACTATTATCAATAAATTCACTGGGACAGCAGGACATTGTCCCTTCACTGAGTACAGGAAAAATTAGAATAAGTAAGTTGACTTGGGGCTTCTTAGATCATAATAAAACCAAGTTCAGACCTCAAGTCACCTCTGAGAATAGCCAGTCAGTCCTGCTCAGCCTCTGGAGAAAGAGCATATGGCCAGAGCTGGAGAAGCGTCCAGGTCTCTAGCAGGAAATACTCAACCATGTCGGCCCCGGGCGGGCTGCTGGCCTCAAGGGCAGCATGGGCCTGTCCTTGCTCTCGGGAATCAGCTGTGGGACAGGAGTGCTTGCTCCTGAGGGCTCGTGTTGCAATAGCCTCTGGGGCTTCAGATGCTCTCGCTTGTAAAAATCATCCTCTGCTGCAGGGGAGAGAGGTAGAGGCAGGGAGGCAGGAAGGGATGTTCACCTGTGAAACCAGGAGGGCTCTCCCCTGTAACAGCCGTCATCCTTGGTGACTGCAACGCTGCCGAGAGCCATCAGGGTCCTCTGCACAGCTGCCATGTCCTTCCCTGCAAGTCAACAAAGAGATTAAAGCCAACCCGGTGTCAGGCCTTCCAGAGGAATCTAGGATAGGGCTGGCCCTCTGGGAAGGAAGTTCTGATAGGAGGCTGTAGGTGGTCCCATCCAAGGGGGAGGGATAGCAAATAGTTCTCAAAGTCCTGAAGCTCACCATAGCACAGCTTCCAGGAAGGAACAGAAATCACCTGCCTCGTCTCTACAGGACTTGCCCAGTTTCTCATCCTTTCATAGCTGCTGTAGGAATAAAGCGTTCCACACTCTTACGTGCTCAGATATATATGTAGGTCCCCGCCCTGGGCAGAGGCCCCTGCCTCAGTGGGTTCTACAGGCTGTGGCAAGAGGAAATCCTGGGGATAGGCTCAAGAGCTGGTTGGCGGAAGATGATTTGTCTTGGATGGATTAACTGTGCCCAACCCCAGGTTGGCTCCTCTCTTTTTTATTTTTTCTGGGTTAAAAGGGTCTAAAATCACCCTTGTGCATCCGACGGAGTACTTACTTGGCTCTGGGCTGGCAGCCAGAACATGAAGGAAAGCAAACCACAGAAAGCACTCGATGTGACACAGATGATAGGCCCTTTCTGTTGTGCAGCTTGGAAGGAGCTAAATGGAGATAACAGAGAGCTGGCTTGCGTGTGTGTGTGTGTGTGTGTGTGTGTGTGTGTGTGTGTGAGAGAGAGAGAGAGAGAGAGAGAGAGAGAGAGAGGTGTGGTGTGTCCTTCACACGGTGGGAGGGGGGGCACTGTCACCTGAGGAGCTCAGGGACACTGAACCCACAGAGAAGGCAACCGGCCCCCCAGGTCAGCCTGTTCTCCCACCTCCTTTCCTCCCTTCCAGCTGACCACTGCCCTGGACTGGGAAAGGCGCTCCTGTGTTGTTGGCCCTGATTTAGGGCCAGATCCACGCAGGGCACAAGTGTGGAGAGCAAAGTTTAAGGCACGGGGTTGGAGCGGCCCAGGGTGTTCAGCGGGGTGGGGGGCAAAGCTGTGAAAGTTAAGGGCAAACACAGACAGGCCCTGTTTGGGAGCACCTGGGGGGCCCAGGCAGTTAAGCATCGGACTCTTGATTTCAGCTCAGGTGGTGATCTCAGGGTCCTGGGATGGAGCTCTGCCCTGCACGGGGCGGGGGTGGGGGGTGGGGGTAGGAGGATGGGGGTCTGGCAGGGGTTTGGGGGGCCTCCGTGCTCAGCGGGGAGACTGCTGGAGATTTTTCTCTCCCTCTGCCCCTCTGCCCATGCATGCACACACTCTCTCTCTCAAATAAATGAATACATCTTAAAAAAAAAAAAAGGAGGGCCCTCTTTGCACTGAGGGAACCATCTGTGGTCCGTGCAGCCGGCTGCCGTGGCTGGGTCACCAGGGACCTCAGAATCACAGGAGAAAGGCAGATGGAAAGGCGGCCCGGGGTGGGACTCTGATGAAGTAAGCAGTTGAGGCCCACGGAGGGGCCACTTCAGGTTGTGCATCTATTCAAAGGGGGAGAGAGACAGCACATCCTTCTTTCCCTTCCTCCCCCCCCATTAACCACAGAGCAATTTCGGGGATCCTGAGGCCCAGTGCGGGGAGGGGAGGCCATGCTGTCGCAGGAGACCCCCCCCGGGGTGCAGGGAGCAGCTGGGGCGCTGGAAACAGAGTGCTGGGCAGCAGATGGCCGGAGGAGGCCACACGCCAGAGAGCCAGCCCGCAGGTGGCTCTGAGAATGACTTCTCTCCATAGATAAGAGCTTTTCTGTAATTGCCACTGTGTAATGGGTTCCCTCCACCTTTTTTTTTTTTAAATAGAGCTGCAGTGATGATATTCTGAAGGATCATTCTGGAAAGAGGCAGAGAGAGGGGCTGCTCTTAAATCGTGAGCTATCAGAAAGACGCTAGATCATGACTAAGCACAAGAAGTGTAGGGTAGGCCACGCATCTGGACTCTGTACAAGAAGCACACGGGACATCTGTTTCTGATGGTTGGAAAGAGCCAGGCCGGTGGGCCCAGGAGCTGGGGGAATGTGCAGCCGGACACCCAGCAATCCAGCCACGGACAGTACCCCAGAGCCCCCCGGGGTGCAGCGGCAAGCTGTGCAAGAGCACCGACCCGACCTCCCCAGCCTCCTCCGCCAGCCCCTAGCTAGAGTACACACCACAGGAGGCCAGCAGGGAGGAGGGGAAAGAAAGAGCTGGGGGCAAGCGTCAGACACCCAGCAACCCAGAGCTCTTTACACCCCCCAATCCCCATCCTGGAGAGTGGAAAAGGGAGCAACTCTGTGATTGGGAGCAGGAGAAGCTAGGGAAGGGGGCTGTATCCGACAGGACCACATGGGGGAAGTTTTTCTTTTTCTTTTTTTAAGTTTTTAGTTATTTTTTTCGAGAGTGAGAGAACACGAGCGGGGGGAGGGGCAGAGGGAGAGGGAGAAGCCAACCACCTCACTGAGCAGGGAGCCCGACTGGACTTGGAATTTGATCCTAGGACCTGGATGGACATGACCCGAGCCGAAGGCAGGCGCTTGACCAACTGAGCCACCCAGGTGCCCCGGAGGAGCTTTTCTTAAGAAAGGCCCCTAGGCAAGAGATTTGAAATAAATTCTAGGCTAGACACTTCATTATACATGACCTCAGCCCAGTGGTGTTATTATTCCCTCCGGTGTACGGATGGGAAAACTAATCCAGGAGGTTAACTAACCAGCCCAGAGTCACTCAGCAAGGAAACCAGAGCCTGGCTCTAGCTCAGGTGTCAGAATGCAAAGTCCACCAACAGTCCACTAGGCCACCATCTCCCAATGGTCCCCCATCGCAGGCTGGTTGAGATGGCATGTTTCTTGATGATCCGAGATGATCTGAAGGGGTGGCAGGGGTTGCTTCAGTGCCAGGCTAGAGGGTAGGCACTGGGGGGACAAAACCCGGTCACGGTTCTTGGTCCCCATTAGTTCAAGGGTACCAACCCAAGGGTCATAAAGTCTGAATGTTTTGTCTGGAATCATTTCTCCAGGTCTTAACCCAAATAAGGTTAAAACAAGAGGAAGCGTTGGGGCCTAGAGTCCCCCAACCATGTGCCAATCAAATATTTAAAAAAATTTTTTATTAAGTTCAATTTGCCAACATATGTGCCAATCAAATTAATCATGGCCAAGATTCTAGGAAACACTGAGCAGAAATCTGCCTCTCTACCTCTGCCCAGCTTGCTTTCCGCTCATGTCTGGTGAGCTTTCTCACAGACGTCCCTTATGCGGAGCCCCAGCGCTCGGGGATTGATGGAAAGGACGAGGGCCTTTTCCTAGCTTCCTGTCTCTTCCCAGTTCAGAATTCCAGATCACATGCTGTTGCAGGGAGGGGGCCGTTTGTGGGAGCTGACTTCTGCAACCAAGGGGTCACATATTCAATGGCTAAAGGAGTAATGAGGTCAAGGAAGTTCTGTGAATCTTGTCACCATCTGCCTAGAACACGGCATTTCAGAAGGAGGTTTCCCAAGCCTCTTGGGCTATTTACGGGATGCTGCAGGGGAAATCGCTTTAAAAATATGAATTTTGACATCATTCCTCTGAAAGACTGATTCAGCAGGCCTGGAGGGAAGCCTGGAAGTTTATATTTTTAATAAGCTCCTCGGGTGATTTACACCATCAGGCAAGTTTCAGAAACATGATGACTGTCAAACCAGACTGATCACCCGAAACACCTGAGCATGTTAAAAATCCAGATTCTGGAACAATCTCTGGGGATGATTCTGAAACAGCCAGATGGATAGGCAAGCACTGCTCCAGCACTTTTTTTTCCCCCACTTTTTAAAAACATCGCAACGTCTGGCACATGGCGAGTATTACATGACATTCCTTAAGCAATAACGCCTCCCTTCAGAGAGATCCTCCACGGAATCAAATGGTAAAGTCAATAATTGGAAGGACTCTGATCCAAGTTGGGAGCCAGCTCAGAGTCTGGCAGCATGGAATCTCTGCTCCCTGAAAGCTACCCCTAGATATTTTGGCAAGACAGCTCGAAAACTGCTCAGGGCTATTCTTCCAAGAAAAAAAACAAAAAAACAAAAAACAAAAAGAACGGTTCTAAAAGAAGTACCAACTGGTTGGGAAGTGCTGGGAATTTTCTAGATGCTGAGTCCTTGATAGTGACCTACAATGGAGACCACTGCTCTTAAAAAGAGAAGTGAAGTACGGACTAGGAGGTAACAAATGTAACATTAACAGCTCAGCATTTGGATCCCGCAACCCGGCCTCTCCTCGTCTCCTCTTATGGGAGGGGCTAATATTATACTTACAATTCTAGAAAATGCGACAGTGGTATAGTACAGTAGCCTCCCTTGTCTACCCTGGCAGACCTCTTCTCGGGGGACCTCTTCTCAGGGAGGCCTGAGTGTGCCCTCCCTCCTGCATTATCAGAGAGCAGTGTTTCCCCCAGTGTGGTCTTGCACTTCAAACTACGAAATGATAACCTCCGGGGGTGGGGGGCAAGGGTATCATTAGGTTCCCTGCTTCCCCAACCTAGGATTTTTTTTTTTTTTTTACATTAGAGGCTCCATGACAGCATGGAGCCCAATGCAGGGCTTGATCTCATGACCCTGAGATCAAGACCTGAGCTGAGATCAAGAGTGATGCTTAATTGAGCTGCCAGGCATCCTTACTACCCATAAAGTTTGAGTGCAATTACCATAAGGACACTTAAACAAGGATTTTGTTCTCTTGAATTTTTTTATCACTTTTGTGATATTTTATGCATGTCTTTGGAAAGAAAAAATAATCGAAAGGGTAGAAGAGAAAGAAGACCACAGAGAGGTCATTGGGTCAGGTAAGTCAGATTGGAAGCTCTACTTTCAATACTGAACGTTTTTTACTGTTTTCAGGCAAAACTCTTTGCTTCAGACCTACTTCCATCTTTTTATCAGTCTTGACTAGTCTTTGTTACTTTTGGAATACTGGCTTTTTTTTTTTCATCTTTTCTGGGATCATTTCTGATTTCCCTGAGTGATAACTTTGGCATGGCCCCAATTCTCTATTTAAGGTAG